GATGATCATATTTTTAATTAGATTTAATTTCGATCTCTACAATTTAAAATAAGACATCTTCCACAATAGTGTTATTTGCTTTATGTGAGGTTATATATATATTGACAATTTATGTGAGGCTATATTGATTAAAAGCCTAACCACAATTTAATTAGTTGCGATATATTTAGTAACCTCGTTGTATGTTCAAATATTAATTGTTTTTTACTTTTTTTTTATTTATATGCGATATTTCAATTCAAATATAAGGAGTAAGGATTTGAAATTCTAGCTTATCAATGAGCGACTTGGTGTGTTCAAGAGTATGTCGGTATTAGTCTGACGTCGAAACTGACCTTATTTAAGGTCTGTGTCGATCGACCAACCGATCAGTTTCGACACAAGTCAATGTGTCTTTCTTTCCCTCCAAATGTCTAAAAACATACAAATTATTTTCAAGTTATTGACCTACACGACCACTAAAAGAGACTAGAGAAGGCTAGGGGAGAGAGAGGCAAGACTCGAGAGATCAGAGAAAAAGAAACCCTGAAAAGACGGCAAAACAATTGAGCGAAACCCTAGACAACTACACATACATACATATTAACTTTATGCATAATATTCTATTGGTTTTCCTTCAATTCAAGAGAATCGATTAACCCCGACCATTCTGCCTCTAAATCAATCGACCAACTTCGATTCGAGTGTTTCGATTGGTCAGTTTGATATTTCAACCATTCTTATGCATTCTAAATTTGACTAGTCGAATATGCTCTAGTCAACTTTTCATTACGGTGATTTCTATACAACTAACAGTAATGCTATATTTAAAATTTCAAAAGTAAAAATGAAAATCATTGATCAAGATATAGAGACAAGTGCAACTTTCCCTTTATTCAAGTAAATCAAATTGTTTGGAAACTTTTAAGAAAATGACTTTCTTTCCTTTTCCCCATTAAGTTCACGTGACAAAATGCTTCACGGATGTATTTCAATAATAAAATAAACGTTTCAAGAAATATTTATTTTTAATTTAAAAAATACTAACTTCGGAAACAAAAGAGCATATTTATTTTGATAAAATGAACTTTCATGGAGAGAAAATTGCTACAGGACAGTATAGATTAAGAAATTTTCTCTTCAGCATTTCGCAAAAGTGAGAGATGAAAGTTTTTGGTCCAAGCAATAGAATTACAAAATTGAAGAGACCATGTTTTACCAAGAGATATGCATTCCATTATTCTCCCTGTGAACATGCAAGAAAGAGCAAATTTCAAGGTTGAGGGTTGCTAATTGAATGTCGTGGAGCACAACATGTTCGGTCCCAAAAGTTAAGTTTACATTAGAGTTTGAATAAACGTTTTGATTTCATATTTTATGTATTGATTTATTTTTTAATACAGCAAACCTGGAGATGGAGAATTCAACTTCAGATCTCTAAGAAATAGGAAAGGTATTGAATTAAATGTGAAATTTACTAGCATTCTCTAACAAACCGAAAGAATATTGTTATATAAAATCATAATTGTTTCATATTCGCACGTGTGTATGCACACGTCCTTTTTCTTTGTTCTTTTCCCATTAAACGTCATTCCTGGTGGCTGGTCGAATAATTTTGGAACGACATGTCGGTAATCGTCCATTTCTGTCTTCTGCGTAATCAACCTTCTTTTCCCTTCCTCATCGTATTCGTAGGGCAGGGCAATGAAACACGAGAAGAAACGACATTGCCACGTCGACAAGTAGCAGAATTTTATTGGTCTCTGTCCTTATTAATATTATTGATAAAATGCCAGCATCCGAAATTGACTTGACCTTATTAAAAAGGTAACGGAAATTTTATTAACTTTTTTTTTTAATTTATAAATTGATTTTTTCATTTTGATGTTTAGTTTAATAACATCCTGGAGTGTGAATTAGAATATCTGATATTTGGGTCAAACATATATGACTTAATTTTAAAACAATTCAATCATATTTGAGATGACAAAAACACTTAAAATGTTTCAAAACAATCAATACTCCAAATTATCATGTTTGATAATGATTTATGAATGTTTTTTGAAGAACTTAAAATGTTTTTGTGGTAAATCATTTGTAGAGCGTTGTTAGCTCAAATGTTGATAAGGAGAGTATTTAAAAATACTTTTAAAAGTGTATACATCAAAGTGATTTGTCAATAAACACTTATTATTACAGTATTTGTTATCAAAATATTTATGCTAAGATCACTTGTTTTAAAAGCGCTACCAAACCTGAATCTGTGGCATATTTTGGAATGCTTTTAGAATAGTGAGTTTAGTAAAGGATATTCAATGACAATTGATTTTGTGAAAGTAATTTTTATATAATTATTTTTAACATTCGGTTACACATATTTTTAAGTGATTTTCATGTAATTAAAAGGATTGACGATCACTCATACAGATTTTGGATTCACTTATGAATTATTGTCAAATATGTCTATGTTAAAATAGAAGTGATTTCGACACTAATGAAGTGATTCTAGTCATGCAAAAATCACTCCCAAACATATCTTAAATCAAACCATTCTTAATCGACGAGAAAAATAAAAATTTTCAAATAAAGTTCTCACATCTCCACAAATTTTCACCCTCCAAACAATGTCATAATAATGCATCACCATGCACTTAATATAAAACCATCTATAATTAGTTCTCTCTTTAGTCGACAAAATTTTATATTCTAATTGTGTAGGTATATATTTAAACGTAAGATGAATTGTTATTACGTTATTTGAGCATAACTAAATATAGATAAGATATCAAATTGTCTTCTTAGAAGTCAAGTGTTCGAACTATTGTCTCTACACTTTCATTATACTAAAAAATTGAAAGATAAAATAGTCGATTTGAACAAGTCCTTAGGTAATTAGACATTAATATCTCTCTATTATAGTTGAAATCGTATCCCTCCACTTTAAATGTAAGATAAGATAAAAAAATGGACAACCAGATTGAATTTGCCTAGAGATACAAAGTTAGCGTAGATCTGTCGTATTAATAGAAGCCATCCACCTAGATATAGAGTATGAAGGATTGTTTGCGATGCATCTGTATCTCATGTTTAGAGAGAATTCACATTTTTTTTCATAAAGAAATAAAAATAAGAGTAGAAATAAGGGGCTATCCCCCTTCTTTCTAACAAAACTTACTTCTCAATGGAAACCAACACTATTTTTTTTAATTTAAGAAAGTAATTATAAGTTATTATTATTTTTAAATATATGATTATGAATATAATTTGTGTTAGTCTGACAAGGTCAATCTCAATATATATATTTACAACTTAATTAATTCAGGTATATGAAGTTAGTTGATTGGGACTATGTTCATTATTGACTATATTTTTACACTACGATGACATGTGGTAGATTGACCCACCAAATTAATATCAAATTATTTAAAACAAGAGATTATAGTTATTTTATTAAATGTTTTTGGATTGGCATATGACATGTCAACTTTCATATAAAGAAAGAAGGAGAGAATAAATTAAAGTCATGTGATGGTCCGGTGCAAACTAACTTAAATAATACATCTACTCAAATTAAAAAAATAATAATAATAAATAAATAATACACCATTGGAATAACGTGGCCAAGACTCGTTTATGTCTTTATTGTTTGATTTATTTGTGTGTTGAATTTAGTAATTGAAAATTCTATTAAAATTTTAAATTATTTAAGTTATAGGCGTTAATTTGATATTATATTTTTTATAGGGGTATTTACTACTACAATGTTGTCAAAATATTGACATATGACAAGCAATTAATCTATCTCGCATTTAAGGGTACAAGTTAAAATAGAAAACAATTAAATTGAACGTCATAAATCAAATTTGTTTGGTACTTAAAATCATCTACTTTGGTCCATTAAACCAAAATTTTGAGTAGATTCATGCTCGTATTCATAAAAGAGGCCGAGTAGATGATCATAAATTTTGATAATAAAATATGATGAACATATTTAAATACGAGTGAGTCAATTAAAATATGTAATAAAACATAAATGTATCAACATATTTTAAGAATATTTTAAACATCTTAAGGAGTTTGTTAAATTTCACATGATCAAGTGGCCTATTTGAAAGGGGAAAAAAGTGATGATGTGGTTATAACAAAAATGGAAATAAAGCTAAAAATGCAAAGAAATATATTTTCCTGTTTGAAAAATAAGTTTATTGATACTATTTTCACATATATATTTTTTTTTTGTTTTACCACCTGCTCCTCAAAAATATAAAATAAATTAGTTTAAAGAATCTTGTATTTTACTTTTAAAATTCAAGAAATTGTGAATTTTTTTTAAGAACATAAAACATAAAAATAAAATCATTTCTGTTTCCGAAAAATCCAGTAAGGCGAGAACAAGTTGAATAATGGGCGAGCTGAAAAGGAAAATCTACAAGTAAAAAAAAAGAGCATTCCACCACTCAAGTTAGTACACAACTTAAATCTTTAGGTCGGTTTGAGACAAAATTGCATACCTAATTGAGTGAAGCGATGATCTTTCCATAGGGATTAGGGTGGAATCTCCCCGTCGAGAGAATTACGGCAAGGATCAGGAAGACAATCTCGACAACTATTTATTCCACTTAAATCCTTCTCAAATATTCATGGGAGCAGTTGAGTCCTCAGTTCGAGCGAGACGAACTAAAGATTTCCTTCATTCGCATGAGGTTCTAAGTTACATGTGGCGAAATCTGTAGGTCGATACCTTGAGGTTGGTGGCCGACCGCTCCTGATCCACGTAGCATGTTGTGATTTTTTCCTCCAAACATTATTATGCTAGAAATTATAATATATCATGTATACATTTAACCACGACTACGAGTTGAAGTAGGAGTAAAGTAAAATGGAATTGAGGGACGCCAATATTGAAGTTGAAAAATAGGTCACGTTAGGGGGAACGCGAAAACGGCATCGTATAGACGAAAACGGCGTCGTATAGAGATGGTAAGTGTAAACGTCACTTTCCTTTCCCCCTGCGCTCGACGGTCCTGGAGCAATTTTTAGGGGAGGGTCTTTGGCCGAGCTTCTCAAATCTTTTTGTGTGCTCCTCCGCCTCTCCTCCGTTGACCTACACGCTTCGCTTCGAAACGGAGCTCAAATTTCCACCACTTCCCGCTTCTGGATCTGTGATTTTCAGGCTCCAATTTTTGATTTTCAAGGTCAGATCAGATCAGATCCCACATCCCTCTTCTTTGCTCGAATCACTTCATCCTCTAGGGTTCTCTCCGCACCTTACTCCCTTTCTCTGCTTCTTCCTTTACTTAAACCCTTTCTTTGCTTCCTTTCTTCCAGATCTACTCCGATTCCTGTTCGCTCGCTGCTTTCTTGACGACCCACCATCAGGTTCTTGAGATCTCAACGCCCCTTCTCCGTTTCTTTTTCCTTTTTCACTTTCGCCTTCGAGTTCAAGTTGGAGGGATGTCGATTTTACCCAAAGGCGATTCGATTCAAATCCGTGAGGTGTGGAACGACAATTTGGAGGAGGAGTTCGCACTTATCCGGGAAATTGTTGACGAGTTTAATTACATAGCCATGGATACCGAGTTTCCCGGCGTGGTGCTTCGCCCTGTGGGTGCCTTCAAGAATATCAACGACTACAACTATCAGACTCTCAAGGATAATGTTGATATGTTGAAGTTGATTCAATTGGGTCTTACGTTCTCTGATGAGAATGGAAACCTCCCGACTTGTGGAACCGATAAGTTTTGCATTTGGCAGTTCAATTTCCGCGAGTTCAACGTTAGTGAAGATATTTTTGCGAGTGATTCGATTGAGCTTCTGCGCCAGTGTGGTATTGATTTTAAGAAGAACAATGAAGAGGGTATTGATGTTAATCGCTTTGGTGAGCTTCTAATGTCTTCTGGGGTTGTGTTAAACGATGGTGTTAACTGGGTCACGTTCCACAGTGGGTATGATTTTGGTTACTTGCTCAAATTGCTGACTTGCCGAACCTTGCCAGACACACAGGCGGGATTTTTTGATTTGATCAACATCTATTTTCCCATGGTTTATGATATCAAGCATTTGATGAAGTTTTGCAACAGCCTCCATGGTGGGCTGAACAAGCTTGCAGAGTTATTAGAAGTGGAGAGGATTGGAGTTTGTCATCAAGCAGGATCAGACAGTCTGCTTACTGCTTGTACTTTTAGGAAGTTGAGGGATACCTTTTTCAATGGATCTACGAAAAAATACGCAGGTGTTTTGTATGGTCTTGGTGTTGAAAGTGGACAGCGTACTAATTGAAGAGAATTACTAAGTATTTGTAGAAGTGTGAGACTTTTAGTTACTTTGTACAATTTGGCTAAAGCATTGATGATTGTAACTGTTTTCCGTTTTCCTGCTCTGTAATAGAAACCTCCACTGTTTTTTGCAGCTTGTGGTTTCTTGTAAATTATGGCAGTTAGTGTTTCAATAAAAATCTTAATGACGTTTCTTTGAAGGAGTTCTCACTTGTTTTCTGAGCTTATGTTGCTACTTATTCTCTTCAGTTTATCCCCTAAGGTACTTGGATTGATACATTGTTGGCAATGGAACATATTTCTCTTACAAATGGCTTTCTGATGTGAGTTCCTAAAGTCTTTCAACTTTTTCCTCCTGGCCTATTGATGTGACTATTTAGCTTTGTCCCCGTCGATGCCAGTACAATAGACACTGACAATAGTTGGAGTAGATTGGAATCTGATAGGAACCATCAGCCTGTCTCGCTCTTATAGTTAGATCAGTTTTCTGTCATATTGGATACTTATTTGTTCTCTCTGGTTTTAAGTATTTGTTTGTATCTGATGGTTGAGCAAGGCCCTGTGTATACACCAATTGCTTTGTGGTGGTAGATTGCCTTGCTTCAAATCACTTATTGCCTTCCTCGACCAATAGAACATTTGCAGAGTTCAGAGGTAAACTGTTCTTTACCTTGCCTAATCTTACCATATGGTATGACATTGGTTAAATGCTATTTTTTTGATTTACTCATGCAGGAAACCAGACGAGACGATCCTTGGCTCAGTAAATCAGGACGGAATGTAAGTTTCTTGGAGATTTTACACCCCTGTTAACTTTTCTTCATGTAACTCAAGTTTCTGTTTCTCTAATCCGGGGCGTTGGTTGATCTGTAGCTGTTACCACCAACAGGGCTGACCCATGTTATCAATGCCAAATTAGATCGAATCCTCTGCATCTGCATCTCAGGTGAGGGCACTTTATGAGCTTCATTTTGAAATTCCCACTTTGTAAGTAACCATATTTGATGAGATTCAATGCATTTGCTGCAACTTTGTACACAAGTTTCATCTGTCAAATCTCAACAATTTTATTCAGTTTTGACTTTTAACCAGTTCCCCATTTTTCCCAAACAAATACCAGAAATTTCTGCTGTTGTGATGTTAAAACGCTGAGATCTGAGCAAATATACATCTAAACCCATTCAAACCTGCCCTGTCTTTGGTATTTTCAGACATAGCCTGAGCCTAAGCAAGTTCAGAAATGGGAATTTGAGAAGCTAGATGACAGCAGCCAAACTGGACTTCATGATCCATTGTTTAATCTCTTGTAAGCTGCAACCCTGAGCTGTATATAGTTTTCAGTGATTTTGTATAAACTTTTCACCCCCCCTGGATTTGATATATATGTTGTTATTGGTCATTATTGTTGGATCCACATTTTATGGTGATTTGATGATATGAAATATTGGGTGGCTTCCTATTCTGAAAAATAATTGTACCTAATCTTTTGTTAGAGAGAGTGGCACAGAAATGGGCTGCACATGCATATGCCTACTAATCATATGACTACACAATAGATTTAAGAAAAAGTATTGAGCTGAACCTTTCTCTTTCTTTCTTTATTGCCTTCACAACCAAAATCAGCACATTATATTCTCCCTAATGCCCAGGAATTTTCACTTGAGTCGACAGCCCGTGGATAATCAATTATGTGTTTTCAATTTGTTTGAGAAATACCCTCTTTTTGAATCTTTAATGAAGTTGAATTGGATGTGAACTAAACCCAAAAGAAGTCGCCTAAGGTTTTAAATCAATTTAGGGTATTTGCTTGTTATATTTAGTGGCTAATCATTGTTTTTGAAGTGATTATATCTAAATCATGGGCCCCAACTTACCTCTCTTAGTATATTACTTGTGCTTAGCCTTCAATGGTTATTCCCTTTTTAGTTTTCCAATTTTTTTTATTTTAAATTTAAGTATTTTCTTTGCCCTTTGAAAATTTCTTTTTTTAGTTTTCAAAAATTGGATTTGAATTTAAAAACATTTAGAAACAGTAGATAACAAAATAGTGGAGCACGTGTGAAAGTTGTATTTACAAGTTTAATTTTTGAAAACAAAAAATCAAAAAAATAAAATGGTTATCAGGTCTTATTTATTCATTTATAAATTTTATAACCGACTTAAATTTACTTTCAGTTTTTTTCAGAAGTACTGATGCAAATACAGTACTTTTAGTGAGGGGACTTTTTATTAATTCAAGAGAAAATACACCTAAACCCATCTCTTTTGAGACATGATTCATCCTAAATTAAAATTAGTTACAACCTTATTTTAAGTTTTTTTTTTAATTATCTTTTTTTCAGAAAAAAAAATCTTATCCTTTTAACCATAGATTTGCAGATATAGTCCAAAGTAAAACATGTAAATAAGTAGTTATAATGAATATAGTCAATCGACATATATTTAGATTAATTCGTAAATGTTGTTATGTTATAACGAATAATATCTACGTCAATATCACTTCAAATAGAACATATTGATTATCATTATGAAAATCAATACATATCTCTTTTTTTTTCATATGGGCTTTACGGACCAACATGAATTCTGGATTTTTCATAAAGCCCAAAGTTAAAGTTTGCAACCCAATTGACATTTTATGGGCTTTTATGCATAGAAGTGGAAGCCCAATTTTAACTCTTTGGCACCTAAAGCAAACCGGACCCAGTCAATTATAATCTTTTCATTTATATAAATTAATTCTTCAAATTAATGGCATTGTTTTCTTAATAAAATTAATTGAATTTTAAAATTTCTCCGAACTCTTACATCTTTAGTCTTTACAACAACAGAAAAGGATATTTTCTACTTCTTTTTTCCTCTTTAATTTTTTTTCCTTTTGTTTTCCTCGTAAATTTTTATCCATCTCAGCGGGTCTATTCTGCACTCTCCCAGCAGTATTCGTTTGTCTGAACATTAGGATGGGACGTCATCTTTCACACTTTTCACGTAGTTGCTGTGTTACTAACGTGTGAGTCAAGGGGGTTTCCGCGGATGATTCTATAATTGCTCTTATATGAAGTTTGTAACTTCATAAAAGTTATAGAATGTTTTAAATAGCAATTTAGACAGTTGTGTATTTAAAAATATTTTGTTTAACTTTAATACCGATTTTCACTAATAGATCATTTTAATTGAAAAAAACACATGGAAAAAAAAAGAGAGAATGAAAATTATTTAAGTCGAAGTCTAGGCCCCAATCCATAAAGCTTAATTGCATTCTGGGGTGTAAATATAATTTTAGAGAAAAGATAAATCATAAATAGAAAAACAAATGAGAGAGAAAAATAATATATATGGCTTGTAAATTGTTTATAATTTTGGAACATAGTGATAAAACTCGTTTGGTAATGTTTTTATTTTTTTGTTTTATTTTCTAACTTTGAGAAACATAGGTATGGTACCGGATTATATTTATTATTTCTTATTTTTTATAAAAAATATTTTAAAATTGTGTATACATTTTGGAAACAATTAAATTAAATTAATTGTTTTTACCGTATTTCTAGTTTTTTTCCCTTCTAAAACATAGATAAAAACATCAATTTATAATTTTCTACCTTAAAATGCATAAAACTCTAATAAATTGAATATAACATACAAATTCTGAATGTTAATTTGGTGTTTTAATTTTCATACACAACTTTTATATTTCTTAAATAAAAAATTTAGAGAACAATAAACTGATTATCTTTTCTTTTAAATAAAAAAGGAAAGAATAACAAACAAAAAACAATTAACAAACACAATTATATTTTAATATAAACGTCATCAAACGAGCCTTATTAGTATCTTCATCAAAATAGTTATCATGATATTTTAAAGTATATTCATACAACTTTGTTTCAAAATAAATATTACTATCCAACAAGTTCAATACCCAAATATTTATACATTTAAATATCGAGCTTCCAAACATGTCAGATATCTAAATTCTTCAATTTCGAGGGTGTGATAGAAAGATGATTCCACGCCACAGATTTTTAAAATAATTGTGCTTGAAGGGATCATTCTATGGTTATGAAAAAATACTTCTAAAATATTTTTAATAAAAGTTGTGGTAGAAAGTTTACATTATCTTTTCAACATTCCTTATACTTTTTGTGGATGCCAAAGAGAATATTATTTTCTTAAAAATCAATATCATTTAGAAAAAATATAACTTATATAGTAAATATGAAGATTTTCTAACCAATCTAACCATTAAATTATACTCAAGGTAGACATCAAAATTTAAGATGATTAAATATATAAATGTAAAAAAAAAATCAATATCATAAATTGAATTATATTATAATATAAAACATACTTGCTCCCTATCAACAAAGACCAAATTTTGTTCTCACCACCACTATAAAATTGATAGTTGATTATTATTTTTTATTAAATATCTCAATTTATATTTATCTTGTTTAATCGTGGAATATTTAATGATGGCGAGKACTAGGAGCCAAATATCTTACTTATAACTTTATTGTAGATATGGTACTTGAATTTGAGTTAATAAACATTTTCGTGAGTGAGGACAAATAGGTAAATATCTCATGCTAATAACAAAATTTTGAATTCATGAAACCAATCCTCTTAATATTTGTTTTCTCAAACAAAGGAAAAAAAAAACAATCCTCTTAATATCTGCAGTTTGTGCAAAATTTATGATAATATATAATTTTGTGTACAATTAAATAGATTAAGTGATGTTAAATTGAATTTTATGTTATATTTGAATTTATGTATTTTAATTTTTAACTGACATAATATTTTGAATCTTGTCGAATGGTAATTGACATATGTTTCTGACAAGGAGATCATGAGTTTGAATGTCCACTCCTATTAATTGTACTGATTTTTTTTAATCTTAATTTGTTCGTGCCAATTAATTCTACTACTTTTTAGAATGAAATATGAAAATTTCAACTTCATTTTTTTTAACTGAAAAAAGAAATAAACAACTCGGCACCTTCTCTAGTATCAAATCAAATTAACCAACACAAATCCATACCATTTTCACCATCAAAAGCAAGCCAGAAAAGTAACGAAACAACTATCCAATAATTTTATAGAAATGCTATACATACAAAAAAGAACATATTTTATTTTATTTTTAGCTGTTTCGATTCGTTTGTTTGAACAGATTTGATAAAAAGGACAAAGTTGTAATGATCCATTAAATTGAAAATTGAAATGAATCAACAAATATATGTTAAAAAAAATAAAAAATAAAAAGGAAAATCGAGGGATAAAGATAAAGGCAAACGTGTGAACGGCGTCGTGTTGGGGGGATGGAGGGCAAAACGGCGTCGTGTGGATGAAGATGTCTTTTCTCTCCTGTGTCTCCGTTCTGGAGGAATTTTTAGGGAGGGTCTTAGCGGAGCTCTCAAACTTTTTTGTGTGCTCCTTCGCCTCTCCTTCCTTAACCTAGACGCTTCGTTTCGACGAAGCACAAAAATCACTACTTCCTGGTTCAAGATCTCTGAATTTCACGCTTCAAATTTTTGAATTTCAAGGTCAGATTTCTTTACCCACGTCTTCTTTTTCCCCTCTAGGGTTCTATCGTCACCTCACTCGATTTCTCTGGTTATTGCTTCACTTGGGGTTTATTTTGGTCCAAATCTTCTAGATCTACGGGGATTCATTTGAGGTCCTTATTCCCTCGTCAGGTTTTGAGGGGCGAAGGTTTTTCACGAATCTTCGCGTAGGGTTCTTCCGTTTTTTTTTTTTTTTCTCGTTTTGTTTTCTTCTGGGTTCGTTCTGTTGCTTGAGTTAGCGTTGAAGAGATGTCGATTTTACCGAAAGGTGAGTCGATTCATATCCGTGAGGTTTGGGACCATAATTTGGAGGAGGAGTTTGCTCTATTACGTGAAATCGTCGACCAATTTAACTACATAGCGATGGACACCGAGTTCCCCGGCGTGGTGCTTCGCCCTGTGGGTGCGTTTAAGAATATCAATGAATATAACTATCAAACTCTCAAGGACAACGTCGACATGTTGAAGTTGATTCAATTGGGTCTTACGTTTTCTGATGAGAATGGTAATCTTCCAACGTGTGGAACGGATAAGTTTTGCATATGGCAGTTCAATTTCCGCGAATTCAACATCAGTGAAGATATTTTTGCGAGTGATTCTATTGAGCTTCTGCGCCAGTGTGGTATTGATTTTAAGAAGAACAATGAAGAGGGTATCGATGTCAATCGATTTGCTGAGCTTCTAATGTCTTCTGGGATTGTGTTGAACGATACCGTTAACTGGGTGACGTTCCATAGTGGGTATGATTTCGGTTACTTGCTGAAATTGCTGACTTGTCGAAGCTTACCAGACACACAGGCAGGATTTTTTGATTTGATCAATATGTATTTCCCAATGGTTTATGATATCAAGCATTTGATGAAGTTTTGCAATAGTTTTCATGGTGGGCTGAACAAGCTTGCAGAGTTATTAGAAGTGGAGAGGATTGGAGTTTGCCATCAAGCAGGATCAGATAGCCTTCTTACTGCCTGTACTTTCAGAAAGTTAAGGGATACATTTTTCAATGGATCGACACAGAAATACGCAGGTGTTTTATATGGTCTTGGTGTTGAGAATGGACAGAGTATCAATTGAGAGACTTACCAAGTATTTGTAGTGCTGTGGAATTTGGCTAAAACATTGATGGTTGTAATTGTTTTTCTTGTAAATTATGGCAGTTAGTATTTCAATAAAATCTTAAGGACGTTCTTTGAATTAGTTAACTTGTTTTGTTAGCTCTTAATATTCCTTTCTATTCATTGAAAATGTTACACACAAAAGATACATGGATGGATACATTGGTGGCAATAGAGAACATATTTCCTTAAAAGCCGTGTGGCTCGGTGATATGATTTACAAGGTCCTTCAATTTTCTTCTCCTGACCTATTGATGTGATTATCTATCCCTTGTACCTGTCAATTCCATTATATTTATACTAAACACTGACAATAGTTGGATCAGCCTGATAAAACCATTGTCCTTCCTCACTCTATAGTCAGAATCCTTGTTTAAATATTTTTGTTGAGGAAAGCGGGTTTTAAACTTGATCCTCCTGTTGTATGTTGTCTTGTAGTAAAGAGCTGTTTTCTTTCTCTACCTATATGTATCTTACTCTTTCCAGTATCGTGGAGAATGAGATCCTATTGAACATTCCCTGAGTTTGTGGCCATACGTGTTTTGGAGGCTTCCCTGTAGCTATTTATATGCAACTGCTGGTGTATTTGAGCAGAGTTTAGAGGTAAACAGTTCTTTACCTGGTCTAATCTTTTGAAACAAGTTAACATTGGTTAAATTATTGGTTAAATTATCCCTTTTGTTTGTATTTGTGCACGAAAATGAGACATTGTTGGCTTGCGAAATCAGGACCGAATGCAAGGGTCTAAGAGGTTTTGACCTGTTTATTTTTCTTCAGGTACCTCAACTTTCATTTCCTCTAAGTTCACGGTGTTGCTTGATCTGTAGTTGTTACAAACTTGACATGGCTGACCCTAATTATCAATCCAAAACTCGCTCATCCTATCCTCTTCTCGCCTGGTGAGAATTCTCTACATTTTATTTTGAAATTCTCACGTGGTAGTTGATAGCAATATTTTATGGGATTCAATGCATGTGCTACAATTTTGAGGATTCGAGCATCTCTTTCTGATTGTCACATGTTTCTGTTTGTCAAATTCAAAAAGTTTTATTCAACCTTTTGATTTCTAACCATTTTGTCCACTGTTAGATGGAAATAAAAGTATGAAAGTAGAAGGGTCTTTCAAACAAGTACTTTGAGATCTGAGTGCAAAGAGACATCTAACCCGTTTCATTCTTGGAGGCTGCCATTCAGTAGAAAGCTTGGACCTACGCAAGTTGAAACCGAGAGAGGGTTTAGAATTGGGAATTTTGGTGAAATGGAGGGGTCATTTTCATAAGCTCGATCAGTTATGTCTAATGTTCTCTTGCGCTAAGGGAGCTTGAGATGTAGTTTGATTTTCCTATTAAGTGGGGCCAGTTGGCGTACTTTGCTCGAGCTCTTCTGGCGCATTAGCTATTGGCCCCAACCCACTTTATCCTACAAACCATACTTGATATAAAAGACATTTTATGATATAGGCTTGAAAAAGGCAATAAGAAAAGAATAGTGATTGGTTTTGGAGCCTCTTGGTGCGAATGTTAAAGAAAATCTTATTGGAAGTGACTTTCGTGTGAGGGCAATCATCATAGTATCAAGAAAGCCAACTTCCTAGCCTTTCTCCATCGCCAGCTTGAACTGAGAAAGTTCCAAATCATCCCATTTAGGATACCAGGAGTTGGGGAATATTCTGTCCATAACACAAATTGAGATGAGACCGAGGGAGGAGACAGTGGGTGTAGTTTACAAAAGCGGGACTCATACTTCCAATAGTGTAGGAATTAGAACTATGGATAATTTATGCACAACCGGGCTCGTCTCGTAACATAACATGCTACAGGTGACCCGAAAAATGGTGGAAGGGGTTTGCCTTTTGCCTTTTGCCCTTTGTCCCCTCCCCCCCTTTCTGTCTGATATACTATAATGCATAGGCACCTCTGTAGGTAAAGAGCGATTTGGTTCTCGAACCAATGGCTGTGACTCAAGAACGCTGCAGCTCGGGAGTCACTAGGCAACTCCCCACATTTGGGGGAAGGGGGATTGGATCATCCATTGGTTGTATCGAGTCTTCAAAGTTAGGAAGAGGAGCTGTTTTCTGATGGCTGCTTTTGGTAATTTTCTTAGCTAATGTTGGATCCCTTATGTATACTCATGTTATTCACATCACATTTTGGTTGGCTTCTGAAAGTAACCGAGCACAATCCTTTTTTAGAGAATGGGTTGCACTTGCAAGAAAAATCATTTTGAGCTATCTTCTTTATTGCCTTCACAACCGAAATCAGAATCATTATTCAACAAAATTTCATCTTAGTTTCGGTATGTTTCACATCTTACTTCTTTAGCCAGCCGTGCAGTTAAATAATCTGATTGGAAACATCCTTAAACTTTTTTTATTTTTATTTTTTTTCCAATGAAGCTCGATCACATGTAAAAATTTGTTCATATAATGCCTTGAAAACACATGAAAACCCTTTTGTTCCCGAATAGCTCTTTTGCATTGACTCAGATTTTCGGGGTTCTTTTAGTTTTACTTTGTTTTGGTCATTATACCTTTAAAATGTTCTGGTCATTATAACTTTAAAATGTTCGTTTTAGTATTTAGAATTTATTTTAATTGAAGTAAATATTGTTTCGAAGTAATTGTGTCTAAATCATGGGTTCCAAATTGTCTGTTTCAATCTATGGCTCGCTGATTGAAAAAGACCGAAACGACCCGTTGGCCTCTATCAATTTTCCAGACCCCGAACACCATTTGCACCATTTTTGAAAACAACTTTTTTTATTGGGCAATTATCCCATGCTTTTTAGTAACAAAAAAAAAAAAACTAAAAACTCAGAAAGATATAGAATTTATTTATTCTGGTTACTATTAAAAGTTGAAATCTACTTTCATGACTCATTCTTTATCCTACTAGAGAATCACAACAATTAAAATAAAAAATTATTTCTTCACTTTAAAATCCATTTCTAAGTGCAAAAGTCAAGTATTTATTAATGGCTATGTTTTGCTCATGGTTATGGTATATCAATTGGTAAACAAAACTTTTGGAGTTAATTAAATGAAAAGATATTTCTCTCCTTGTTATAATTATTATTCCAATGTAATCAAAACTTCCTCTTCTCCCATATCTCTCATCCACCTTTTTAATCTTGATTTATAAATATATGAAATTAAACAATAAATGCTAAAATTTCTCATAAGAGTAAAGTGGGTAAAGTTGGTGTGACATCTATGTTGAAATTAATTTCTTAAATAAGTGGTCTAATTAGGCTAACTCCAATTAGTAGTATGAGTAGTTGAGCAATACCAACTCGTTAATCTAATTATAGGAAACCCTAGAATCAATTTATAAATAGTCCCAGATACATGAGGAGTAGGATTGCGCATCTATCTAAAATGTAAAATTTTATTATATTATTATAGAAGCTTTAAAAGTTTGCTTTTTCCGTACAATCTAAGGTAACAAATAGTCTTTTAATTTATTTATGTTTGTAGTATTATTAGTGCTCATAACGCATAATCTTATACCTAGGTAATCACCATAGAGTTTGACATTTTTTCAAGGTTTCTTTGCTTTTTTGATCTAGGGCGCTCCTATATTAACTCCTTAAATTATAATGTCTTCCTTAACTTTTGTTTGAAAAAGGGATGAGTGGAAATCTGGTAAAGAGATTTTTTAAGCATGATTAGACAAGTAAATGACACAAATTTAGAATCATTACAATGTGTTTATTTTTTTTAATCAACCAATGAGAGCCAAAATGCAAAAAGTCTACTCATTAATTCTTTCATTCCCCAACAAATAATTCTTCTTCTTCTTTTTGTCTATTGGGGGTTTGGGCATTTTAATTAACTGAAAAGGGTAGGCCAAGGTGTCTTTAAATTTTAAATAATTTTTTTAATACTTTTTTAACCTCACATAACTTTTCTTTGTTGATTTAAAATTGTATTAAAAGGAAAACTCAATATAGGTATGATTTTTTCTAATCAATGAGGTTGGTGCAAAATAAGTATTTCAACTTACATGTAGCGCCTAAGATATTAGATTCCAAAACAAATTTAGATTTGTGTAAAATGGCCATGAAAAAGCTAGACACTCAAACAAAATAATTAATTTGAAATTTAAACTATAATTTAATACAAATAAATCAAAGATAATATATAGTTAAATTATGTTCAAATTGACAGTAATGTAATAAATGTTAAAATGTCAATTAGAACATAAATACCAAAAAATATACCAATTCCATAAAATGGAAGGTTGATTTCTCATCTTTACCTTGGTTAAACAAAAAAAAGTGAGAGATCAAATTCATTTACATATATTTTATTATACACTCATCAAGGGGAAACAAAAGCATTATCCAAACATGTTTCAACTTGAATACTTTGGTGTGACTGAATATGACAAATGTTTTGTTTTAGATTTAGTACAATGAGATGTGAAGAATATTTGATCTTCTAAGTAATATTTCTATTACCTATGTCCATTTTGGTAAAAATTAAGTTTGTTTTTATATATATAACTTACACCACGTCATCTTTAATTCTTTCTACATTCAAATTTCATTTTGGTTGTTGAACTTTCTAAATTATTCTACTTTTATTGTTATTTTTGATACGTTTAACAGCTAAAAAAAGTAACAAGGGCTTGGAATAATATTTTTCAATTTAGAGTAAAGTACAAGGAATGGAAGAATCCAAAATACACACAAAGGGGATATATATATTAGGCTTAGGGCATAGCATCCCTTTACATATGGGGTACCCCCACTCCCACAAAAAGCAAAGAGACTCAAAGAGGGACACCGTAAGAAGCTGAGAGCGGCCTTAATGGATGGGACTTTAGAATTGAAAGCCAGACCAGATAGAAGGGAAGGGTTGTGTTTGGTGGGCACATTCTGAGTGTTGTGTAGGGTCCCTCTGCCCCCTAATGTGTAGGACACTTTGAGCAGTGAGGCGTGATGGCTTCTCTCAATCCCATGCATCTGTGGGGTTCCCTTAAGGAGGCTACATGGGCCAAGCACCCAACCCGAACCACACTCAAGCATCGGTCCACTTGAACCAACTGGCCAAAGAAACTCCATTTATATATAGAGAATTTATAATATGTGTCTCCGTTTATCACTTGATATTGTAAATGGCCAAATGATCTTGGATGATGAAAAATGTCTATTTGTATTTTTTTTTCACTGTTTTATAAGTTTGATTTTT